TACCTTGAAAAAATAAGATATTAACATCACAATATACCCAAGTTATATTTAAATTTTTTAGGGTAAGTGAGAAAACAACTTCATAGAAACAAAAATGAACCACCAAACCACACTGCTTATGGTCAGCAAATAAAATTTTTCTCATTGCTGCAATAAAGATGCTTTCATTTTTTACACTGTGTGTTCATGCATGAATATACAGTCCTAAAGCATAAGCCTCTAAGACTGCAACTTTGACATTACAAAGGCAGTAACATACATAATCACACTATTTAAATTCTACATCACTTTTAGTTTATATATTACAGGGAAACAATTATTTAACAGAGAACTGGTCTAAAATCTTAGTAACATTACCTATCAAAATAATTTTAACACTACAATAACATGAATATAAGAAGTAGTACATGAAGGGCTGGCACTATGGCATAGAGGACTAAGCCTCCACCTGCAGTGCTGGCATCCCATATGGGCAATAGATCCTGTCCTGGCTGCTCCTCTTCCAATCCAGCTCTCCGCATATGGCCTGGGAAAGCAGTGAAAGATGACCCAAGCGCTTGGGCACTTCTGCACCCCTGTGGGAGACCTGGAAGGGGCTCTTGGCTCTGAATGGGTCCAGCACTGGCTGTTGCAACCATTTGGGGAGTGAACCAGCAGATGGAGGACCTTTCTCTTTGTCTCTCCTTCTCTCTTTAACTCTCTCTCAAATAAACAAACAAAATCTTAAAAAAATAAAATAAAATAGTACATCAGTTCTATCTTCCACATACTGGGTATGCTAAGTAAATACGAAAATTTTATCCACCATCCAAATGACATTAGAATTGACTTTTAAGAAAGTTAAGTTTAAGACTTAGTAAAGAATTATATTCAGTAACAAAAACGGGGAGGGTTATCAATTTTGAAGCCAAATACCAACAATCGCTTTTTCAGTATCTTATGGAAAAGTGAATCAGAAAATCCACGAATATATATAAGGCTACAGCAAATTAGGGCTGTTGAATTTCTTCCATTACTGTGGTACTGTAACAGGCTATAAAATTTGTTTTCAAAACCAAAACCTAACAAAATGTATTCCTTAAGTCTCTTGACTTAAGGCAAATAATACATTACCTGAAGATCCTCTCAATAGTAATGAATTTTTTCAAGAAGCCCAATATACAAGTTACTCTGAAACAAGAAATACTCAATTTCACAAAGTCACCTTACAGAAAGCAAGTGATTAATAAATATAAAATTGACAGGAAGATAGTTAACAACAAGCAAACAAGCAAGCAAACAAAAAGATAAAGAGACAAGGGAAAAAGCACCATCATTTCCATACAGAAAGCTCCCTATCCTGATTTCAGAAACCTCAAATACAAAATGAAGATCATTCTAAAATTTTTATTAAATATCTGTAAAGAACGCCTTTGTATCTATTCTTTAAATTTCTTAAGCATGTTCCCACATGCTTCAATCCTTTATGTAGGCAGGAAGCTTATCTCTTTTATTCATTTCTGAATTTCTGTTTCTAGCAAAGTGACAGAAACACTGTGAATGAATATACTCATTTATTCATTCAGCAAATATTTACTGAACACTTACATCGTGCCATGTACCATTTAAGTACAGGAGTAGGATACACGACAAATCAGAGAGCCCTGCTCAGGTAGCTTAAAGTCCAGTGAGAGAAACAAATATTTACCAAATAAATCAGAAATAATTAAGATCCTCTTGTGATGATGCCACAAAGCAGTACAGAGTATAGTGAAGATACAGTGGAGACCTATTCTGGTTTTGGAAAGGAGCAGTTCAAGGTTAGGGAAGGCTCCCTTTAGGAATGACATTTAAAATGAAACTTGAAAAGTGTCTAGGATTTGGTCAGATTTGAGAACAGTCCAGGCAGTGAAACAAAACATGTGCAAAGGCCCTGAAGTCAGTAAGGACTTAAGTATTTAGTAACTGAAAGGGCTGACAAATGAGAAAGGCTGGAAATCAAAGCATATTGTCAACAGTAAATAAGAGTCAAAAGGGTTATAACCTTTGAACATTTAAGTCACGTTATGTGTTTTCTCACCAAAAGGAAATAATCTCAGAAACTAAGTCCTATTCCATAATATTAAAGATGCAGTTAGAAGATCCAGATTACCCATGCCTTGTTCCCACCAGTTACCAGCTACATGACCTTGAGCAAGTAAACCCAACTGAATCTCTTCAGTCTTTTTAAAAAGGCACTCAACCTATGCCATCTACTGAGACTACAGTGATAAATACAACATGGCCTCTCTTCTTCTATTTGTAAACCCCAAAATGAGAACAAATGTGGATAACAGTAAAGTGCACACAGATGCACACATCACTCTGTGAACTCTCTTAATTATCCAATATGCAAATGATCACTGTACTCAAGCATGTGGCCGGAAGATGATAAATGTAAGAGAAACATTCCAATGACATTCCAGCAGAGGTGAAATATCAAAACTGAAATGAATCTCAGAGATACAGAAAAATTCATGGTAAACTGAACCAAGAACAAAAACTGATATATGCTGAACAAGTAAATTATATTAACTTCACTTATTTCCAGAATTTCTCTAGTTCAAAAACTCTTTTCATAACCACACAGCTGCATGCCAAAAGTCAGAACTCATTTCACACCGTGCCCAACAAAAGCAAATATTTACACTGCCATCTAGAAAATGTATTAACATTCTTGCTTACCACCACTTACTAATGCATCTATGGTCTACTTAAACTACTTCACCTTTCTAATTTGACACAAAGCCAGTTAACTCCACACAATTTTCCACCTGTTTGGTTGACTCTTCCTTACAGGTGCACTATTTTGCTTATGGTGCTTATTATTCTCGATTTCACTTGATTCTATACTATCATACCTCTCCTTCCATTTTAAAGTTGTATCAATTTCCAGACCATCTTAACTTCCATAATATGGGAATATGATACATTTGATCCTAGAAAATATTGCTGCATTTAAAAATTACACACATTGCTAACATTAATATTTATAGTGTGTTCAAAATACAATGTATTTCAATGATCAACTTAGATAACAATAAACCATGACAGATGATTGCCAACTGCAAATAGAATATTTATGAATATAAACTTAATGTGAAAAAATCCTGACATCAATGAACATATTCCTACATTTCTATTAAAAAAAAAAAAACTATTCAGTATTAATACTGAGGAGCTGTCCTGGGTCGTAACAATTACAGGAGATAAGACTGGGAGAGGTGCATTAGTTTCTACTCCATATGAAATGTGTCCTGCTTTTCCATTCTTTAATACAAACTAAGAATGACTTAAAAGTCACAGATAGGGGCTGGCACTGTAGCGCTGCAGATTAAAGCCCTGGCCTGAAGCGCCAGCAGCCCATACGGGTGCCAGTTCTGGTTCCAGCTGCTCCACTTCTAATCCAGCTCTCTGCTATGGCCTGGGATAGCAGTAGAAGATGGCCCAAGTCCTTGGGCCCCTACACCCACGTGGGAGACCTGAAGGAAGCTCCTGGCTTCAGATCAGCACAGCTCCAGTGGTTGTAGCCATCTGGGGAGTGAACTGTTGGATGGAAGACCTCTCTCTCTGTCTCTACCTCTCTCTGTAATTCTTTCAAATAAATAAAAATAAATCTTTAAAAAAATTTAAAAAGTCACAGATGATGCTGAGAAAATTAAAATATGTAAGAGCCTCATTCTTTTATTTACACACACACACACAGAATCAAAGAGGGGAAAAGCAAATGAATCTCAAAAATATGTTACCTCCAAGAAATGCAATGTTATCTTCTTTTCTAGTAATGAGCACACTAAACTCTCCTTAATGCTGCATTATTTGAAACAAAAAAAAAGTGTACAGTAAGTTTTGTTAAAGAATTCCATCCCCACTGTTCTCAGTTTTACAACATGAGAGTGGAAAAACCACCTAAGGCAGGAAGGGAAAGAATATATCCTTTTCACAGTAAGGATGGAATACACTGTTTAAATGACTTTCTCCTATTTCACTATCTACTTTTAAAAATGGACTGTGGGAGAAGTCGATCGTTAATATAGCCCCAATAAAGGACAAAATACGTAACTGATACTGATCCTTTTTACTTTTCAAAAAGGTCAGAGAAAGTGCTTCAGTGAGGAATTTCACCCCAGTTTAGAAAAAAAAGAGAGAGAGAGAGGAAAAAAAAAAGTCACCCTTCAATCACTCATAGCTTCTTAGAAATCCATAAAATACCATTACTGTGTCACTTCCTCCACCTTCCTCAAGAAACACGGCCCGTCTCCGCACTTTGTGACTCCGCCGGCATCTCTGTCCTGTTCAGGACCAAGTCCCTGCCTGTGTGACCTTGGGCACGTCATTTACTCCCTCAATTTCTTCAACAGCATCCTGACGGGAAAGCTCTTCGAAAGCAGTTCCAGCCGTAAACAAACCTATCTTGGGTATCACACCCTCAACAGGGTCGAGCGGTTCTGCTCAGGGACCCCATCTCAAAACACTCAGAATCCGCCGATCTGTCAACATTTGACTCTTCCTACTCCGTTCTCCTTTTCCTTCAAAGGGCATAACCCCAGTCACCCCGGAGCGAAGACTTCCAAGCAACCCCTCCTTCCCCAGCCACACTTACGAAGCAAGGGGGAAACAGCAGCCTCACCTCTCCTGCCCCAAGCCACACCTTCGGAGGACCCCACCCCAGGCACATCCGCCCTCTCTCCTCTCGGGGGGAACCAGAGGCCAACCTCGCCCTTCCCCTCCGCCCCCACCTAGAGCACACTTCCTGGAGGCGTCCAGGCCCGAGCGGGGCGGGCAGGCGGCATTTACAAACCCGCTTTACGCCACTCGCGTAGGGTAACCTCGCTTACGCCCATAGGGCCCCGCTCCCAGCCCCGTCCGCTCCGCCAGCCAGTACCAAGCCCGAGTGCCTCAGCCCCGGCCCCTGTGTGACCCCAGACCTCTTCCACCGCGCGCGGAGACACGGGGATAGGGGCAGAACACCCGCACCTTACCGGCAACTGAGGCACTGACTTCACTTCCCACCTTTGGAGCCCTCTTCAACTCCCGGATCAATTCACTCCGGCGACGCCGGAAGGACCCGAGAGGAACCAGGCGTTGTCCGGAATCCTGCCCAGCCGGAGAGGCGCAGTGGCCTATGGGGACTCGTAGTCTCGCTCGCCGGCGTCGTCTGCAATTCCTGCGCTCCTAGGACTACACTTCCCGGCAGGCCATACGGCAGAGCCTAAGGCGATGGGTGGGGACACTCGTAGCCAATAGTAGGAGAGTTCCCGGCCTTTGCGGGAGGAGGTGAGAGGGAGAGAGAGGGTGCCAGGCTAGGGGAGGAAGGGCGGGGCCGGCTCTCACCTGCGCCAATCAGGGTGCAGGGTCGGCCCCGTAGGCGCCTCACCCAAGGAGGGGGCGGGCTGCCGGAGGAGAAGACGGAAGCGGGTGGGGGGGCCCGAGGTAGGGAACGTGGGGCCGGTGGAATGGGTCTGCAGCGCGGGCAGAGAGGGAGCCTGGAGTGCAGGGAGTGCGGGGACGCTCCGCGGCCGGGATAAGCAGCTCCGCCAAGCCCCAGACCCGCAGGTTGGGGAGCGATGGGCTGAGCCTGGGCTACCTGCGGAGGCGCCAGGGCGCGGCAAGGGAACAAGTCCAGGTGTGAGAGCGGGGAGAGGGTGGGAGGAAAGGGGGACCCCCGGTACGAGGGAAGCGGCTGGAGCAGCTTCCAAAGTGCAGGGAGCGGGCAGGGACCCGGGCGGCAGCAGCAGGAACAGCAGGGGGAGGAGCAACAGCTGCCCAGTTCGCCAACTGGAGGAGGGAGAGGCGGAGCTTGGGTCCCGGTGGAAGCCGAAGGCGCAGCCTGGACCGTAGTTTCCCGGGAGAGACCCGAGCAGGAGCGGGAGCTGAGCGGAGTGCAGTCCCTTCGAGCCTCAGCTCCAGCCGTCCGCCGAGGGTGGCAGGTGTGCGGGAGGTAAGCGTGGGCGCGTTTTCCGGGGCGTCCGCACACTGCCCGGGAGGAAGCGTCTTTGCACAGCAGTTGCAGCAGGGCACAGCTCAGACCGTCTGCCTTCGGCTGGAAAAACCGGGGCAAACCCTTTCGGGTGAAAGATGCACATTTTTGGACTTTGAGGAGGAAAAAAAAAAAAAAGAAAGAAAGGTCGCTTGACCCTGGGTATAAAGGGTGTGGTTAGTGTTTTTGGTTTGAGTTGCACGATTCAAACTGTTGTGGGAGGTCTCAAGATTAAGGGAACCCCTACTGATTGAGGACAGGGTGGACGGTATTCTGGATCGGTACGTAGCTGATGAAAAGCAAACGTCTCGTCGTTGATACAGAATTACTTCCGAACTGTATCCCTAGAAAATAACTTTGCGTTCTTCTTCAGCGTCTGCGGGTACGTTGGATGCTGAGATTGTCCGCTGCGGACCTGTTATCCAAGGTGGTTGTAATGCAGGTCCGTAGAATTCCGAGATCTGTATTAAGCTAATGCAGTCAGGAACAGCGGGATAGGATGGGTGCTCCCTGAACCTGTGGGAAGTATAACTTTTGCCAGTAATAGTGTAAAAATGTGTTTTAGTGGATGGGCACTTAGCTTTCCTTCCAGCGACTCTGGAATATTGGAACAAAGACCTGGACTCAGCCTACAGTGGGAACATATGGTGTACATCATTGCTGCTCCTTATTCGCTCATTTGTGTCCAGTGATATGTGTACATTTCAGAAAACAAGAGGACAAGGAAAGCTGTCTGAGGATCTTTTCTGTGTTTAGTGCATACGTGCTAAATGTTTACCCTTTGTATGAATTATGATGGGTTCAGGTTAAAAACATCATAAAATAAGAGTTTATTCTCAGAATTAAGCCATGTGTATATTTCTTTGAGTGTAATTATAATAGTACTTATGGGTGGAAATATGGTGTAGATGGAAATATGCTGAAGATAAAAGGTGCATCTAGCTTTGTGTAACTGACAAAAATTGCAGGCTTTTCTCTTTAGAAAAGTAGTAGGATCTATCTGGTGAGTTCATTTTTCATTTTCTTTTTGTTACAGAGTTCCCCAGATTACATGGCTTTTAATCATAGTAGGGTATTGCAGCACATTTTGTTCTGAAATGCCTTTACTGTGATAGTTGTATATTTCAGTCTGGGAATACTTTCATCTAGGTTTTTTTGAACTAGGGTCAATAAAATGGAGTAATTATCTTTTATTTTCCAGTTTTCCTGATTTACCTAGGATTTTCAATTTTATTTTTGTACTGCACACATTTGTTTTTGAAAAGAAATGGCTCAAAGGAATTCTCTGTTTAAAGTTCAGTCCTACTGAGTGCTACTACTGAAAAGCTTAAGTGACTTACCAGTATATACATACTCCATCTTTCCCACACTCACACTGCAGAACTATGGAGACAGACAAATCTTAGCAAAATAGCTGCTCTTAGATTGACCCGGAGCTGATCAGGTAAGTATTAGCAGCAACAAAGAGCTTAGGAGAATGAAAAAGCCACTGTAGCCACTAAAATTAGCAGCCATGGTAAGAGTCAGATTTTTATCTTTGCTACACCATTGGAGAATCTTATTAATCCACATAGCTGCTATGACTCTGTAAAATTATTTTGGTAGGAAAAACTGGGTACTAGGGTTTAGTGAGGCTTGCAAAAAGATCACATTTGTCCTTGTTATTTGTGATTAAGTGGATTGTCCTGAATCAGAATCTTCTATTCTCTTGTAGTCTGTACTACTAATTCATTTTATTAAACTCAATATTAACTGTAGCCAGGTTATTTCTCTCATGTATTAGTAATAGTAATGATAATTCATTTTATACTGGCAACGGAATTCTTACAAAGCCTTTGTCAAAAGATATTTTTGCAAGAGTTTTGTTGACAATAACCAAGCATATGAATAGAAAATAAGTATCACAAAGGTTGAAATTCAGATATACTTTGAAACCCAACTCTTTACAGGTCTTCTGCTCTGAGGTATATAAAAAGATAAGAATCTCATCAGAAAGGGATGAGTTTGTAGTATTAAGGTACTGAATTTTTCACGTTTTTCCAAGGTTTTGATCCTTTTTATTGTGTCAATTAGAGAAATTGGGTTGTTGTATCTTTTGAGAGTAAGAAGATCATGCTTTTATGTGAGAGAAAAACATTAGCAGTGTATGGTGCTTAGACATTTGTTTATTACCTTGAACTCTTGACTGATCTTAATTGATATTCACATTCCATCTTCAACTTTTCTTGATTGATGTTGAGAAGTTCACTATATATCACTTTATAAGTATATATAAAATAATACCTATGTTAAAAGCATATTTACATATTTTCTTGATTTTTGCTGCTACATTTGTCTATCAGTGAATATATGATATGTAGAGAAGGAAAAGCCACAGAGTACAGAATGTCTCTCTTGAATGCAAATTGCTCTGATGTTATTCTTTATCCAAAACTTGGTTAATTTCAAATTACAGTATATCTTGGATTCATCTTTCAATTTAAAATTCTGACTCAAAGCTTATTGAGTAAAAATAATTGAGTAGCATAGGTTTCTAACAGGAGGATTCACTGATGCATGCAGCATAAAAGAACAAGCTCTAAGTGGTCAAATTCTAAGGGTTTTGGTGAGGAGAGACAGGAGGATAGACGTGAAGAAAGCTGAGAAACATACCCTCAGCAAGAATGAAAAGAGATGTGATACTTTTTGTTAAATGCCTATGAGGGATTCCATGCCCTTTTCATTCCAATCATTGATCTCTAGAGACTACATCCCGTGGCTGGAGACATTATTTCAGAATTTTCATTTTAGCTGGAATCAGAGTGATATTAATTCTTTAGATTTTGAGTAATCATAGGTTATTAAAGTATTAAAGATTCTATATGTATGCATTCAGTTGTAAGTAAAACATTATTCAGAAAAATGTGAAAATGAAGTGAAAAGCTGAAGTAGTGTTTTCCATCTTATAACAGAGATATTTGAACCAGAGAAGAATGAGCCAGAGAGCCCTTTCCTTTGATTTTCTGTTGTTTTCCTGCCCTTTTCTTCTTGAATTTTTTCCATCCCTTCCTTTCTTTCCTTCTTGCTTTCTGTAAATTCAAAAGATTAAAGGAATCATGATCAACTGTTTTGTTTGTTTTGTTTTGTTTTTAATCTTACCTTTAATATTTCAAGAATTTAGTCTTTAAAGTTTGGAAAATGTATTTCATGTAACAAAATTATTAGCTTCTGGAGACCACATATGTTTTCTCTCTGGCTAGTCTTGAGCATTTTATGTCATGCTCAGCATAACCACTTACTGAATTAGAGCTGTTGGCCAACAATAATGTATACCTTGATATATTTTGCACTTTGATAGACCAGAGTCAGTTGACCTCACAGAAGGATTACTATGCTTAAGTCTTTCTGAGAATGTCCTGTTCTACTTAACTTTTGCAAAAGTATTGATTGAACAAAATTTGATTCAGAGTGTGAGTACCATGAAGACATCATAACATTGAGTGTCAGTATTTTTAGATTCATCTCAGAGATAGGGAACATGGATGAGAGGAAAGGGCTCTCCTACTGGTGGCATCCTAGGTCTACATTATATAGCCAGGGAATCACAGACGTGGCCTTACCACCATTTAACCTTAGGTCACTGGAGATGCTATGTTTATTGAAGCTTACCTTGAGAAAGCATATTTCATTCTATAAATACTGAATTTGTCCTTTAATTTTTCTGTTAAGCCTCTACCATAAAAGACGTTAGACTGATTTTGTTTAAGTGCATGTGGAGTTGGGCATTTATTGTTTTTGCATTTGACCTTCCAGAAGTAAATTAATCTGACTAGTGTTAGAATTAAGAATTCAGTATGTTTTCTCCCTCATGATTTGAAGACCTGAACAGTTCTAGTTCACTGTTCTTTAATTCTTTCTAGTGAAATTAATAGAGGCAGATATTTCACTGTTTTTGTTTGCTTTTTTAGCTTACTTAATACTAGCATGCTGATGGTTACGGATTGGTTGAGAACTGATGATTAATCTTCCTCGTTCATATTCCTTTGGCTTTATTCTGAATGGTTAGCACTGTGCTTTGTGTAGTTAGCTGAGTTCATAACTGTCTTCTTCACCAGATACGTAGTCTCTTTAAAACTGAGATTCACTGACCTTTGGACTTAACCTTGAGAGTCTTACACATGGTCCACATTGTGTAGGTTGCAGCGGTTTAACTGTTTGGCAACCTGTAATGAAGCATCAATTTTACAAACAAGTACAACTAGAAGAATGAATTTTTCTCAGACATATATTTTAGGACCAGATTTAGTCCTATGCCCACAACAGTTGCTGATATTATAGTTCTGAATGAATAGAGCAAAGAATGCTATTAACTGCAGTCTTGTATCCATATATGTGCTTTAGATACAGATTTACTCATTGGATACCATTGGAATTTTGGTGGTCTCTTCTGTCTTTGCATCTAAAATTCTGCTGACTTTAAGTAACATCTGCTATACACATACTTTTTTATGCCTTTTTTTACCTAACACATAGAAATAAAGACAGAAAAAAACAGATGAAAGTAGTATGAGGCTTTATCTTAACTAAAAATTAACTGGTATTGAATGTTCTATTTTTAGTTAAATAGTTACTAATGGTTAATAAACCTGAGTCACAAGGGTATATTTCATCTTTGGGCCATTTTAGGGAAGAGATACATTTTAAAAGCAGGTGTTAATGGCCCTCACTGCTGGCCTTCAGTGCAGCTGAACTGCTGAAGCTTGCGTGGTTCCTGCAGCTCCGGCCACTGCTTGGAGGCCCCCTTCTGGTTCGATTTAGGAAAAGAACCTTCTGAGCTCCTCACAGCTCTTAATTTAGTGTGCAAAAGAAAGCTGATGGAATTTATTTTGATTTAATAACCTCATTTTCCTAAGTGTATTGTTTTTCCCAGACATATCTCACACCAGAGTTCCCAGTAGCAGGAGCTCAAATGTCACAAAGTG